CCCTTCCTTGCAATTTTTCACTTTGCCTTATTCTATACCCACTAGATTTTAATGAAAAACAAATTCTTCTTTAACACCGATTGCATCACTTACCACAGTGTGGGTCCTGATCTAAAAATAGAAATTGGATGAGTGCGCGCGCGTGTGTGTGTGTGCGTGTGTTTGTGTATTATAATCGCTCTACCAAAAAATGATCCCTGCGTGTGCGTGCAACCTTTCCTCACATCCAACATCCCAGTGATTTCTCGTGGAAGCGCAGAGGATTTCTCGGTTTCCTTCACAGCGAGTACCACGTCAACACATTCCTTCCCATTCCCTAGTTGACCTGCATTCGGACACGGCCGGCGCTGGTATTGCTAAATATTAGATTTCCAGTTCTTACACATTGAGGATGAATGTTAGTCCCAAGCATCATCTGTTGGTTCTCTGTGTAATTGCAGCTGATCTGGTAAAAACAGAGCAGCAACCGTGGGCGGTCAATCTGATTTTTGATTTTTTTTTTCCGCATTTTTTTTAATTTCTTGAAATCTTCATGATGTAACACCTTTAAAATACTCTCACGTATTCCGGATGTTCATATAATTTTTATCACGTACCAGAAGTTCTATCGGAGCTTTGCTGAAGTTTCCTGAACTTCTTTAATGTTTCTACAATTTTCTTGAAATTATTTGAACTGCCCTTTGATTCTCTGATCTGTCTTGATGTTCTCGAAGCTTCCATAAAGCTCTCAATTCTATTGAAGATCTCGGTTCTGCTCGGATTTAAATGGAACACCTTTAAATTTCCCTGGAATTCTCAAGACTTCTGGGTAGTTCCTGAAACATTTCTGAAATTTTCATAAATTATCTGAAGGTCTCCGTACTTCCTTGAAATTCTCGGAACATCTTAAGGGTTCTCGATTTTATTTCAGCACATCATGGAACTATCCTGAATTTTTCTAAATTTACTATTTAAGATCTTTAAACTGCTCCAAAAGTCTTAACTAAAGTTACGGGAGCTGCTCTTAAGATCTGAAATTCCTCAAAGAACTCTAAATCTAGCTTTTTTGATGTGCTTAGAACTTCTTTAAAAAATTGCACAATACCCGTCAAGTTTTCTATATTTCTTAAATTCACTTAACCCCTGTGAAGTTCTCTGAAATTCTAGGAACTTCATAACAGTTTCTGCAAATTTTCGGATGCTAAAAGAACCGCTTTAAGGTTCTTAAAGCATCCAGAAAGTTTCCCATACTTTCAGCATGTTAAATTTCTTTATGTTCCCGCAGTTTGTTTATGGAGCTTCACTGAAATTCTCAGCATTCCCTTTCATTCCTCAGAACTTTTCTGAAGTTCTTACAATTGTTGTGAAGTTAATGCCATGAAGGTTGCTTATCTTTCATAAAGTTAATTGCGAACTTGCAATAAATCTTTTTTTTTTCCCTTAATTCTGGCACTTTGGAAATTATCAATATATCTTGGAATACGAAAATTCAAGACATTGAATATTTTTAGATCTTGGACTTACTCAAATGAAGTAAACTTTTAACCTTTTTCTTTAATGTGAAATTAAATAAGTTTTAAACTTTAACATTCAATTGATTTGATTGTAAAACTGTTTCTTAAAAACTGATTGCCACTATTGGGCTATTTTCTGTAGTTTTTGATCTACCAAAAAAAAAGCTTATTTTAAATGCGTTAAAAATAGCTTTCTTATTATAAGCCTGGAATTGATACGTTAAAGTTCTGGAAAAACCTGGAAAACTCAGGTGATTTTTTTTTAGAACCTGTAGATATAGAAAGACGACTAACGTCACAAAGCAAAGAATGATCAATCTTGAAATAAATTTACGCTAAAAAAGTTGAAAATAGTGACTGATTACAAGAAAAAGTGACTTTAGTGACTTGGTCTTAAAAAAGGAGACTTTTTAGTGACTGCCTTGAAAAAAGTGACCAAGTCACTAAAAAGTGACTCGCTACCAGCCCTGAATTAAAAATATATTCTTGAACGAATATAAATTCATCCCAGCATGTGACTATGCCCAAATAGCAGTAGAACGAAACAGGCGAGAAACTGAAAGAATGTGAAAAACACTCTCTAAGGAGTGCAAATCCGATTGAATGCTTAAAAACTGAACGCTAAGGATCTAGAATTAGCAAGTGGTTCGTTTTTTTGTCAGTTATATAATCAGTGGGATACATTTTAGAAGTTCAAGTTTACCAGCGTGATTCATATTTATCTACTGAAAGTAAAACTTTTCTCCATATCAATTATCTTCAAAGCTGATTCTCTTCACTAAACGCTCACTCATCTGTTACAAATTAATGCAGTTGACTCTTGAAATTGTTCTTTTCGTTTCAGTCATTTTTTATCGATTCTGCGTTCAACGAATCAATTAAAGTAAAACAACAAAATCAACACAAGTCATATTTTTTGTGAATGAATTGAATTTTGCCCTGCCCGATAGAAGTTAAACGGACATGCAATCGGGGTGCTGGTCAAATCGTATGTTTTATTTTTGAAGAGAATAGTAAAAAAATATGTTTGATGTCCAGGGAACACTAAGACACGGTTTTCGGGCTCTAGCTCCAACTTTATAAATTTTAGAAATGTTGTACTTAATTTTAATAAAAATGTATATTTTCAGAAAAGTAGTGGGCAATTTTTAATCGAAACGCGGAAGATCGATTATGTTGGTTCGATTTATCGATTGCGTAGTCAAGAACATTTGAATACAACGCACACTCGTTGGAGGTATTAAAACGTGCTCTTTAATTACTTTACTTTAATACAAAAAATACTTGATAGAAACTTAAAATCCATTTTAATAACAATTTAATACTTCAAAAACTATTAAATACAGTTCAAGTAAAAATATAATATTAAAGCAAACAATGCTTAATATATTTTATATGTCTTTTTATTCATTATTATAAAAAAAAACAAAGAATGTTACTATTATTGTAACAAAACGGTCTACATCTGATTGATGACAATAAATAAATAGGTACATGAAGCCCTTAACATCTTTTATAATACTGGCCAAATCCTAGATTGCAGAGGTGTGTAAAGATTGTTCGAGTATCGCGACAGTTAACATGTCCGAAAAATAAACAAAACATCCCATTTGAGCATATTCAATCATGTAAAACGATAGAGTTCTCATAGCTACTTATTTCAATACCATTGTTTGTCATCGTGGATTTTTTTTTGAAATTTGTTCCGAATTTACGACAAAAAGTGATCAATTTACCCAATGCGTACATCTTGACAAGGCAAACTAATGGCGAGCAAATACAATTCACCCAGCATGATGCACGACAATCTTTCATTCAGGGATTAGGTCAGTGTAAAAGCCGAAAAAAAGGTCAATTTCGCGACTTTTTTTTGCGAACAGAAGCACTTTAAAGAATGCGGTTTTCAGAATTTTATTGAAAATATTTTCAATAACATTTTCCCAAATTTTAGTTTTTGAAATGTGCAGCGAGATGGCGCTACAATCATCCAAGTGATAGCATCCCTGGTTCATACCAGGGTTCGGCGGGTAAAAGTTTTATAAACTAGAATGTTTTAACTAGTGAAGTACCTGGCCGATTGTAAAAATATAGATTTTTGGCAAAATGGCGCGCGTTTGAAAAAAATGGATTGATTTTCAGGCAAAAATATAAGTCGTTAATTACAACAATAAAAAGTTTTAAAGATAAAGATAAAAACTCAGCTACTCCACTAGAAAAAAGTATGTAGAACAATTCAAAGTGTTTTTTTTATGTTACTTCATACGCGAAGTTAACGATTTTCAGAGTTGGTTGGAAATGCTAACATGAAGCTTTAGTGTGATGATTTATTAGCTAGAGAATGATCTTTAGAAGAGGGTAGGTGGATAGTTCCGTTAGAGTACGGCAGTATGAAAATTGAATAGAAGTTGAAAATGAGCGTACATCGTACGGGTTAGGCAAAAATGTGCGTCCACCTACCCTCTTCTAAAGATCATTCTCTAGCTAATAAATCATCACACTAAAGCTTCATGTTAGCATTTCCAACCAATGTAGAACAAGCTACAAAAAATCAAGTTGATTAATCAATTAGAAATATGACTTTCGTTTCCGCCCGACTTGAAAAACATGGTTTCGGGAAAAACGCGATTAAAGATAAATTGAGTTCCCAAGTCTCCGACCCAAAATAATGTGAAATAAAGTGTTCCCGGGTATAAATCCAATTGTCCGGTATCCTATCATTTAAGACAAAAAACGCTTTTTTTGAATCGCTACAAATAATTTAACAGTACCCAACCCGATCAAAAATCACAACAAACAGCACTATTGAAAATACAGATCGTCATTCAACGGTATGCATGTTGTAGGTCCACACCATCACCACCAACCGGACACGCGAGGGCATTGCCAAAGCAACAGTACCAGCAACATTGAAAGACCTTCCGATATTGCGCGAGATCGGTGGCATTGAACGACCAACTCATGCCCAACGGTGGAACTAATAATGTATGAATTGTTCTTTTCTAGGTTTTTTTTTATATCCCCACCACCGCCCGTTCAACGAACATACATACAATTAGGTACCGTACCGCACATAGAATGACCACGTCAAACGGAGACAAAGTTCTATTATACAAGTGCGCCGGTATGCAGCAAGTAGCTGTAGCAGGTCGTGCCGCGCGTTGCTACATTTTTTGATGATATCACATCTAGGTAGGTACTGTTTATGGTCACGCGTTAGAAACAGCGACCGACCGATCGGCGACGATGTAACAATGGGCACACCATCCGACCGCGTGGAAGTTCAATCCAAGTGCACGAGAATTCAAGTGCAGTGCCTATAAACACTGCCGCCGCATGGTTGGAATTATTCATGAAGCAAAACTGCAGCAGCAGTTACCGTTATATGGCGAAATTCTACGCCACCGACCGTGTCGCCGTCCTCTCTCCCTCGAAGAAGAAGAAGGTTCAAAACCATGTGACCGAAGTCAATTAACAGAAACATTCATTGATCAATGGAAAGTAACTCACCGTTCCTCGGCATCCTTCACGCTATCCCAGGAGTCCCCTACTCCGGACGAGGCATCATCCAGCTTTTCCTCATCCTCCATGCCCGAATCTTCCAGGCTGATCTGACAGCTGGAAAGTACAACCTCCTTCCCGTTATCGCCAACCTCAATCCAATCGGCCGTACGGATCCGAGCCGGCCGGCTGGCGGTGCCATTTGGCGAAACATCCGCCGAAGATCGCGTCTCCGGGGGGCATCGCTGTCGCCTGGATACAGAATCAGCGGCCGCGAAGGTACTGCCGATGACCTCCTGAGCGTTCGATTGTCTCATTGCCGTTAGTTCCGAAATTAGCAACTCATGGAAGGCCACCTTCTTCTCGCTCAGCTTCGAATCGATCGTTTTCGGGTCGATCGACGGGGGTTTGATCATTGGGCTGGATGCGTTATTGCGATCATTCGGTGGAGAGACATGCTCTCCGCCTTCTGGTTCCGGACGGTACGGGAGCCGAATGGATGAGGTTCTTATCACATGTTTGATGGGTTCCGGTGAGGACCGATTGGTGAGGAGGGCATTGTTTCGAGCTTCGATAATTGTAGAAGTTCCGTTCGTTACGACGGTTGTGGTAGAACCGAGCTGATCTGCACCAGATCCGATGATGATCTCGGTCATGTGAGCTTGTCGATTTTCGAGATTTTTCAGGTTATTTTCCCGTTCTAGCGAATTGCTACTGGCAATGCTATTGGTATCGATCGAGTTCTGCTCGGTGCCACTGTCATGCTCCGAGGACGTCGAATTGATCACAATTACATCGGGTGAATTACGCCTAATACCGGAGGCATCCTCTAGCGAGTCCAGATGTCGATGATTGTACGAATTTTTTAACTGTTTTTGGCTCGAGATGGTATCGTCTTCGTCGGCGGAATTATGATGATTGTGCTCATTACGGCCGACGAATTCGGGCTTTTGAAGCGTGGACATTGGCGAAGATGACGCCGATGTCGACGCTGATGAGGAAGAATTTATTTCAATTATACTGCACGTTGAGGTGTACATTAGTTTCCCGTTTACTAGGTTGGAATTGGTGTTATTATTGCGGTGAGTAGCGCCATTCAGAACCGGTAGAATGGGTCGGGGTACGTAGAGGCCGTTAGATTCACCAAGGTAAACTTCGGTCTTTTGAAAAGAATAATCCAACCCATTCTTAGAGTCACCATTAGTGCTGAAACTTCCGTTAGTGCCGTTGTGCTGCGGTTTTCTGTCTTGATCGAATCCTGGCGATTTGTAAACCACAGTACGTCCTGAATGCGGTGGCTTTAACGTTTGAACGCCTACTGGGCTGGGAGAGTTCTCACGGTGCCTGGCCAAAGCATTGGCCACTGCTGCAGCGCTGGGTCTAGGAGGGACCGGAGGCCCCGGTTTTCTTGTTGTCAACATCGCGTTATTTTCACTCACTATCTTGCCCAAACAAACAATTCATATCTTTCCTACACACTCAATTGCCTCCTCGACGCGACACACGAAAGCACTTGAATTATTCGTCGCACTCGTAAACAAACGTGAGATATCACTTAATTATACACCAGTGCACCAGCACCTCGGTACCAGAACGAAATCACTGAATCCATAGACTCACTCGAGCGAACAGGGAATTTCCATTCCAGTTAGTGGAGGTATATCATAAACACACAAACACCAGCCTGAGCGCAAGATCAACCGCACAACGTGACAAAGCCGATAATGATTTATCTCGGTTCGACCTCCCCTGGGGTAGTGGGCCGTGAATCACCAGCCTTGCTTCTTGCCTGCCTGCCTGCCTGCTTGGCCACAAACACTACTGGGAGTTCCAGCTGACTGCACGTTCACAACGGTCACTCAACGAGACCTACTTTTCTCACTTTCAACTGAACCTAAATCTGCGCGCACGCTCAAAAGCCTTCAAGGGGGGACGGACTGCGCTTCTTCTCCAATTTCTTCAGCACTCGACACATCCAAGGAGATGATACTTTAGCTCACTTTATTGTTAGGTGAGACTTAATTCACACACCATCACCAGGCGCATATTGTCGATACATTGAAGGGTACAATTCATCAAAATATGCGCGTAAAACACCCTCTCCGCGAGATGTGCTATTTCGACACTGCTTATTCTTCAACAATTCTTCGCGAAAGGTAATTGCACAGTGCAACCGAGTTGCTAACGAGATGCTTTTAGTCCGGCAATTATCCCAAGCGCCGTAAAATCACCCGAAAAACAACCAGCTACCCTTCAATCTTGGGTGCGAACAAACATGCGGGCGAGCGAGTCCCACAACCATAACAAACCCGCAAAGGTCCAAAAACTTGTTTCAACACTTTTTTTTTTGCACGGCGGAACCCGTCTATCGCCGGATTCGCGAACTACTTTTCCTTTGCTTCTTGGCTGAACGTAGCAGTAGATTCCACGATGCGCGCGCGAACGTAACACCCCGTCCGATTCGATATCCAAACGCGAACTGAAAAGCGAATCTCACGGACTACCGTGCTGAAGGTGTTCCGCCGACCCGACGAAGTCCGTACCAATACCATGGCACAACTCGGCTTAGCCGAACTATAAGCGGCTTAAGTAGGGATGTCCAAGTTGAACCAAAGTCTGAGGAAGCCCTAAATACAACACGAAGAATTGATCACCCCCACCGAGCCAGCTGTGTACGAAGGCGAACGCACCACAAAGAGACAAACCCTAAGGGAGCATCCATTAAGTACGTCACGCTCTAAGAGAGGAGGAGGGGTTTACATATGTGTAACAAGCAATGCATTAGGTATAGGGAAAACGTGACGAATGAAGAGAGGGGGAGCGGATTTTCCCTAAATTGTGCGTGTCGTGATTAATGCATACTCCCTAAGCATAATAATGTTGTGAAAAGTGTATGCTCTTTGATGGTATTTAACTGATACCGACGACGGATACGACCACAACGTCCATCCGGTTCTTTTTTGTTTTGTTCGATTATGCATAGGTAGGAGTTAATGTTTATTATGCTTCGCACTTTGCGCATCGATCGGGATGCACTTCTTTAGAAGTTTGGGTTTGAACTTTCGCATCGAAGACGATGCGCAATAAAGGGAAAACGTTGAAGTTCCATAAAAACAATTCAACAATTATTAACAATTAGGAATAAACAAACCGATTGCGAGTTGTCAACAAGCAAACATGGATCAATATCGTAGTGATTGTGTTACGTTGTTGTTCTGGGAGGAATATTTACATATGTGTGCAAGCTTCTAACGAAGGTTAATGTCGAAATTGTTTGGAGAAGGCTTCTTATCTTGAATAATCATAGACTCACATCGTGCGCACTGTCGTAAGGTTTCAATGACTTATGCAAGGAAATTGATTCTAATCTGCGTTAGAGTGAATCACTGTTATGTCATACCTCAAGAAAGAACACCAACTATTTACTATTTATTTGTATACACACATAGCTTGGAATCGGATCAAGTCATATTATCCTGGTAGGTACCTATAAGAAATTTACTGGAGGGTGGTCAACGTGATTGCACATGGATTTTATGCGACTTAATTCAGACTGATGCATCGCAACGACGCAAAGCATTATTCCCAAAGGCTAGGACAACGAGCACAAAAAGTTCGCAAAATTAGGCTATGTTTTAACTATGTACCTTCGCACTTCTATCGAATTGGGCTCTCAGGCAGCGTGTGACAGTGGTTATCACGATATCGAGCATGTTGTTTGGTCATGTACCCTACACCGTTGCCAGATCTGAGTTATCCACATCCCTCAGGGCCCGAGGAAAACAATCCGCGATACCCGTTAGAGATGTCTTGGCTAGCCGAGATCACGACTATTTGAATTTAATTTATGTGTTTTTAAAACGAATAGATCTGAGGATTTAGTAGTTAGTGTCATCTTATGTTCTCCCAAGTTGTTAGCTGCCCATCGGTGTACCCCCATGTTTGTCTTTGTCATCAGTATGTCGCTTAGTTCGAGATCAAGAGCACATTGCTCTCCAAACCTTGTGTTATCAATCCCTACCTTGCCATCCATTTGATACAATGTGTTACCCCTAACCTCGAGATAGCCGCAAGTAATCGGCCCCCGCTTTACTAGCGTTAGTTTTAAGTAATTTTGTGATCCATACAATGAATATCGGCTCCGCAAAGCTATAGCAAATGAGCCTGGAAAAATAAACGCATTATAAAAAAAAACTATGTACCTTGACAATTCGCACAATATTCTGCACAGGATTTTATAAGATTGTTGTCAAGCATTTCTTTTCGAATCATTTCCCTTCACAGATTTCTTTTCAGAATTCTTCTTAAATAAATTTGAGATTCTGTTTAAGCATCCATTGACAAAATTCTAAATAACAGTCCAAAAATTCTCTGCTCCAAACACTCTAAATAATTAATCCTAATTCGTTCATAAATTCACTTCGATTTGTTTATTTTTTTTATTTTTTTATTTTTTTTTTTTCTAATAATTCCCTGAAGCTTTTTTCCATTTTTAAACTTTTTCTCAGAATTATCTTGGAGTTCTCCTCTGAAAATTCACTTGGAATTCCCCATAAAATACTCTAAATATTATTTTCGAGAATCCTTGGGTCTATCCTCGCTTAGCTCAATCGGAAAAGGCGCAGCTACAAGGCAAGCCAATGCTGGAGGTGGCTGGGTTCGATTCCCTGGCCATAAAGTATGATCGTACTTGCCACACAATTATTCTAAATGGTACAGGCATCGAAAGCACTCAATTAATAACTGTGGCAGTGCATCAAGAAATAAGCTTGAAATACGAAGAAGATAAAGAGAGAGAGGTTATCCTTGGAATTCCCTTAAAACTCTGTGGAGAATTCCTTTGGAATATTACCCTTAAAATTCGATTCCCTTCCCTTTCACGGATCCTGGAATCCTCTTCATAATCGTCGTACAATTTTCCACAGTGCTACTTAATTTTTGTTTACTGTGAAGCCTCACAAGTCTGGAGTTCTAATCAAAACTATCTTAGAGTTTTTCCCAAACCTACTTTGGAAATTTTCTCTGAAATGCGTTGGTGTTATCCTTAAAATTAATTCTAAAATCGCCTCAAAATAGCTAATATTCTCTTAATAGTTTTTCAAAGTGACTTCATCCTTAAAATCTAACCCAGTCCAAGGATCTAGAAAATTTTTATAAAGCCCAACATGTAACGAAAAATCCCAAACACGGACGCAACGATAGAGCGCAAATCGAACAAACGCCACATTGCGCATGCTCACATGAGCGAGCCTGGGAGGGACTATCAAATACGAACAATCGTCGCCTACCTCGCATAACTGGTTTCAAACGACAACAAAGCCATAAGCAACGATGGTTTGTTGATGTTTGGAACCAAATTCACATATGGAAAATCAATGAGCGTAAACAGGTGAGGCCTAGTTATTTTGTCATCTCTTTCGTTCTTCGACTGATTAAATGGATGACAGAGTTTGACGGCACAATCCTTCAACCGTTTAAAAAGCGGGAGAATGAAAGAGAAGACACATTCCCTGAGCCTTACATATTTACGTCTCATTGACGGCTGTTCAGTAGGCCGATTTGATAGTACATCCCGCCTCTGGAGCGAGCTCAATGCTCGGTTGATCGCTCACCATTTCACCAATGAAAGGAAGGGAGGAGAACAGCAGCGATAATAAAGACGCTTGCCAAATCGTTCCCGATCTTTTCTCAGCGGATGAACTGATGGAGATTTTCATCAACATGACCGGTGCTTTACGTAAGTGCCGCAATAAGCCCGAACAGATTCAAGTGCTCGGTAGGTTCATCATCCAGTATGGTGCCTAAACCGCTAACCATCGCTACCTGGAACGCTTAATCTGTTAGAGCTAAGCAGATTGAGCTTGCCGACTTCCTCCGCAAGCACAGCATCGACGTGGGTCTTCTTATCGAGACCCATCTAAAGTCCGGCGACAGCTTCTGGGTGCCTGACCACAACATTATCCGGCTTGATCGCACCAGCTCCAGGGGGAGGGTGGTTTCGAACTTCTATCATGGAGGCCGTTAGTGTGGAGGTGGAATCACCAACTGGAAACATCCGGTTTATCGCTGTTTACTGCCCACGCCAGTGTACTGCAAGCAACGGACTAGGAATCCAATTCAAGAACGACCTGACCGCCATCACCCGTACTAGCTCCCGATTCATCGTTGGGGGCGACCAGAATGCCCGCCATAAAGCTTGGCGGAACTACCAGCGGAACCGGAACGGATGTCTATTGTTCGACCACGCACAACATGGGCTGTACACCGTGCAGTTTCCAGACGAACCAACTTTTATCTCTCCGGCGGGAAATCCCTCCACCCTGGATTTTATCCTGTCGAACATCAGACTATCCAAGCCGGAGGCGCACAACGATCTCAGCTCCGACCACTAACCGGTGGTGAGTGAAGTCGGTGTCAAAGTGGTTCCTGCTAGAGTCGGTGTATAATGAGTCACGCCAAGAGAAAACAGTTGAACTCGCATCAAGGTTTTCGAAAGATTCCCTTTCTTTTCACTTGGCAACAGAGGACTTCTACAACAACTTCAAATGACTTCTAGCGAGAAAAAAAAATACGGGTGTAGTGAATCATTATATCAGTGATTTTGTCAAATTATCTTATCAAAAAATAGTAGAAATTCTCATTACTGATCATTACCAAACGTATCCCATGACAATTTAATGCTCACTGCGTGTTTATGATAATTTCGTCAATTATATTTTATAGGCAGCCCTAAGTTTGCACCTATAGAATTGATAAAACGATCCATAACAAATTGAAAAACGTTCCATTAAGGTGATATTCTAAGCAAGCCTTAGCATGAAACTTCAAAGGCACAAATGTCAGCTTCCACAAAACATACAAATTTGAAATTGCTACTCTCTGTTTGTAGTAGCACAGCAAACAAGGAGTAGCAATTTCAAATTTGTATGTTTTGTGGAAGCTGACATTTGTGCCTTTAAAGTTTCACGCTAAGGCTTCCTTCGAGTATCACCTTAAAAACTACCAAATGATCCATAAAACATCGGAGAAAATCCCTAAAAAAGTGTGGATGATCCATAAAAAATATCAATATTATCAATATTTTATGTGAAATTTAGCAACACAATTGTAAAAATGTACCACTAAATTTCTAAATAATGAGCATTGGAATTGTACGAATTACCCATAAACATATTGCAATTGATCCATAAAACATTCAGCAATGAACCTTAAACTAAAGAAAGTGATCCATAAAAAAACAAGTTTGCACACTTAAAAACATAGGCATGATCCATAAATTAGACGTATATTATTCATGTTTAGGACACATTTTTTTTAAATTTTGATCCATAAACCTTGAAAAATTGCTCCACTGCTTATCTACTTAGATTCACTGTCCTGTCCGTGTATTTAAGGTAGATGTGCGAAGCGACGGGCAAGCGTCTAGAATTAGCTTCCAAAAGAAGATTCTATAACAATAG